TCACTGAAATTTGATTTTGTATGTTGATTAATTTTACTTCTTTGCCAAGCCATGCAAGATCGAGTCCAAAGCTACATATCTTTACGGATACTTGGGCAAATAAATTTAGATGATAAGAGTTTTACAGATGACTTAATGCCAGGATGGGCTATGTTATGCATTTGATAAAATATCTTCTTGCAATAACTGCCAGGAATATATGGTCTGAAAAACACAAATTCATTGTTGTGAGAAAAGTAATTTTATGATTTGCACGAAGAGAAAATTTTGGTGTAACACAAGGGTGCCAGCCGATGCTATTTGCACCAGTGGTGCGATTAGCCGTTTAAGCTATTCTGACTCCAGATCAAAAGGTTGCGTGTTCAAATCACGCTGGGTCACCAGTTATTGGCTCTGACTCTACAGTAATCTTTATTTTTACAACTCTGTTTTATCAAAAAATGTCAATCCATGTTTTAAATAAAAAATAATCTTTATTTTGTTTTTAGCAAATGTAAACAACTCTTTAGAACAATATCATTAGTAATTTTATGTTGCCATTCCAAGAACAAAAATTGAATAACCTTTTTTGTTGCCATTCTCAAAACAACAAAAAACAAATAAAACGATATTAATCAGTAATTAAAGTTTCTGTATAAGCCACAACACGTATATGTGTATATGTAAACACACACCTACATTTGTGCTTATACATACATATATGTGCATACAAGAACATATCCATACATGCATGCATGCATACATATATTTTTGGATCTGGTCCTGATAACAGAACAAAATCTATAAAAATATTTCATGATTTTAATTAGATATATCAGAAATTAAATCAATTTTTATTTAAATCAATCAGATTAAAATGTAATAAAATTGTGTTTTAAGAGCTGCATCTATTGCTTTTCAATAATTTGGTTTGTGAGTCAATAATAGACAAACTAAATTTTAAAGAGAAATATCTTATATTCAACTAAATGGCAGCAGACTCGAATGAAAAGTAAAATGATGCATTTGCAGTGGACAATGTTCAAAGTAAATTAATACAAGATCATGTTTCAAGACTAACAGCCCTTTTGGGCTAAAAATCCAAGGAGGTTCAGAAACAAAAACAAAACTTGCGAAAAACTAAAAACTTCACAACCAAGAGTAATAACTTTGAGTAAGTTCGAATCAATGAGTAATAACTTTGCCAAACAATCATATAAATGTAGCTCTTTTAATCAGATCTTCAACTGCAGAAATTTGAACTTTACCCAGCATAAAAATTTAAATTTTAAAAGTTCAGAGACTAAAGTAGACATGCAAGAAAATTTCACTTTGTCATATAGCATCCCCTTTCTATCACATGCCAATAATGGCCCATAAATAGTTCAGTCCTGCAGCATAACAAAGATGAGCAAAAGCTTTACAAGATCATTGATTGCACTCAATTCCACGGGAGTCCATTTCCTTAGCTAGTGTAATTTTTCAAGCAGATATAAATTTAACTACAGATCATTTCATCAATCACATCAGATTATCCTACAAGTTCTTTGCATGTTTAACTTGAATTTGACACAGTCCTACAGTTGAGTCTTATTGAGACCTATTTGTCGGTCACACAGGGAAACATCTTTAGGGATCTTATCATCAGAAACACATTTATGGAATTATTTTAAATAATAAGAAAATCACTACATAATTTCGAAGTGCAGAGAATACACTTTTATTGGCTTTTTATTAAAGTACTGGTACACAATCTGAATTCATAGATAAAGTACATCTGAATAATTAAATGACACGTCATTTTTTACAGTCGAACTAAAGTCACCTTTTCAAAACTTAAAATGATTAGTTTCTATAACTGTTATATATCAATGAATTCCCTGTTTTCAGCAACTAAATTTTCATTGGCAGAGTATGCACAAGAACACTTTGACAGTGACATAATCTAGAAGTAACATGAACTATATCTGATAATTACTTTGTATTTTTATCTCCCTGCAGTTTCTGGGGAATCATATTTTAATTCCAGGTTATTTATTTTAATCTAAGGCATTCTACTTTAGATTTTCCTATATATTTTAATGATTTTCACCTTTGCTACGAGCTTTCCATTTTGTGTTTTCCAATTTATAGCGCAAATGACTATGCATGATTCTTCAGAGATTTCACTTTATGTCTGATGACAAATGACATTTTGCATTCACAAATCTGTATAAATTTCTGTGCTATTTTTTAATATATATTGTACTGTACTTGCAAGTTTGTTTTTGTTTACTATTCTACTAATCCTAATACATCTAACAATTCACCCTAAAATTAACAAAAAATTTGATACCATTTTGATAAGATTCATAGATTAGCACAATGACTTTTTTTAATTCATAACATTCTATGCTTTCATTTTTTTCTTTAAATCCTGCTATGTACTGAACATTTAATAAATCAGAGTGCATTTAAAAAAGATTGGTTTAAAAAGCAGCAGCATTTACAAAACATAGTTAAAACTTTATTTTTAAGACATTTATCACTTTCAACACATTTTAAAACTAGAACTACCAGCTTCTCAAAATAATCAACTTTAAATGCAATTAAAAACCGAGGTGGAACTTTTAGTGTTGATTTTTTTATCCTTAGTATCGGTTTTTAATATTTAAGTTATATTTCTCTTTCTTTCAACTAATTCTTACCAAACATAATAAAATATTGAAAATTTTATTTACACAGATTACAAATCATTCATTTCTAACATTTTGGATTTCAGGTAACATAATTCATTGCATCAAAAATGAATATTATCTGTACAAGATCTGTGTTACAATAGATTATCTTTATATCTGAAATAAAATATTATTTTGAATACTGGTACATAACATTTCAAACTCAGTAATAATAATGAACCACAATCTTGAAATAATTAAAAACCTAAATCAATTACAAGAATGTTAATTAAAAAAATAATAATGTTTGATTTTGAGGCAACATATGAAGTAAAATAATGGGAAAATGTTTTGTAGCTGAATACTACATTAGTTATAATTGTCTCAGAACTTTATACATCGATCTTTTACTCCTTTTTGTGTTTTTGTAGTTTTACTTCCCAAATGTCAAAATTATTTTAATTCCAGTTTTGCTTTTAGATGCAATGGAATAAATACTTTGTTATAAATGCATACAATGTATACATCCTTCTTATGTTTTAGATATTTTTCTACTAAGTTTATCCTTTCTCAGTCATAGAAACATTTTGGTACTTTCCCGTTTCGCTGGCACAAATCTCGCCAAGCAGACTTTATTTGCAACAACATACAGTATACACATAAAAAATATTAAAAAATTAACATTTGAATGGTAATTGTTCTAAGAATTTTTTATTTTGAAAATATAAGCATTTTAATAACGTTTAAAATTTTGTAAAAAGCCAATAAATAAAGGACATTAAATTTGTAAAAAGCTAATAAATAAAGACATCAAATTTGTAAAAAGACATTAATTTAAGAATTTAATATGCTTTCATAGTTCAACAGCCTGATTCGGCGGTTTATATCACGTGACCCCAAGTGATCTCATCTCGTATAAACGTTACAAAAAGCTAAATCTCTCAGTAATTATATACATTAATTTCAAGTTAAATCTGAATTTGGAATACAAATTTAAATGCAAGAATAATTTCAATTCGTATGAATAGCTTACTCGGAAATTATGTAAAACCGTAGTGCTTTACTTCGCTAGTGCATTCTCATTAGAAATGATGAATTTAACCCTTGACTTTGCCTTTTCTATATTTTCGCCTTCAGGTGAGCGGTGTGATTGTATCCTAATTGACTTAATAACTGGAAATGGCGTTAGGGCTTAAAATTTAACTATCTGGTAAAAATTCTATGTAATTGTATGGCAATATTGAAAGATAATCAATCTGATAAGAAATAGCTGCGACTTGTTTCGAAAATGAGGCATAAAAGATTACCAGCTAGGCTATTCCGTTTGACATCAGTTTTACCATTATTGGTGAATTTATCGCCTGCACAAGCAAAACAGGAAAAGTACCAACATTTTTAGCATGGCGAATGAATGTAGAATAATAAAGAGTCTGTCAAAGCAAAGAATTTATTTATTTATTTTTTTTTTTTTTTAAATCTAGACAGGAGTTTTGGAAAAGAGATGGAAACAGATAACATAATGCTGAGAATATGCCCGAAATGTTTCAAATGATGGATGGCACATATTTAATTAAATACCTTTTATAGAAACTCAAATTCTATATTCCAATTAAGTCTACTAAAAACTTTTATGTACACCATCAATCTAAACACATTTCATTTTTTATAACAGTTCATGAACAAATCACACACAAAAAAAGACAAATTTTACTGATATTCTGGGCAGTTTATATTACATAGCATCCCATAACTACAGGAATTCATCTAAAAATTTTAACACAGCAGTTATATAGTTATTTAGAGTTTAGCTTTCCCAGTTTTATGGTACATGATGAAAACAACATAAAATTAAATCATTAATGTAACATATTTATCTCTGTAGATCAGCCACTCATATAAAAATTAATGTGACTACAATAATAAATTTGAAATGATTTAAAGAGGTCTAAAATAAAACGAAAAGTCACAATTTTTCTAAATTTTTAAAAACTATGTGTTTATAGTGCTCTAATTCTAATTATACAGTACGAACATCACCATGGAAATGAATAATTATTAAAGAGGATATTAATGTGCATGATCATAGTACAACGTATATCATAGTTTCTGAATATAAATGCAATGAAAAAATCTTATGCAGTATACTTAAATGTTACTCCAACCTTTATTTTTAAAATATTGACTAACTTTTTTCTTAACAAATATTACAAATTTAATTTAGGTGTTAAATATCTCATTGGCATTATAGCTCAGTGTTAAACACATAACATATATACTTATCATTATAACCTAGAGTTCTACAATGCAGGAACACAGTATAATACTTCTAAAATTTAATTAATTTTGCTTGGTTTTCATTTTTACCTTATTTTGGTCAGTCCAATAAAGAAAAAAGCCTTTCTTGTCAACCTTTAAAGTAACTGGAGTTCCAACAGTAGAATCCTAAACAAAATGTTAATCAGATTTAGAATATTATGCAGAATAAAAGAAAAAAGAAGTCATTACCAAGGATCAAGAAATTACACAAAAGTTTTACAGTCATGTGCAGGGGCGGATTTAGACTGATTAGGCCCAAAGCTATTTGAGATATGGGGCCCTTTATACGTCCAGATTTTACATGTCAGTGCCAAATATGATTTTCGGATACCTAGAGTGTTAAACTGAAACACAATTAAGTATATAGAGAGTGAAATAATAAATCTTTAACTTAAAATCATTTTGAAATGTCAAAAATATTGTAAGCAAAGCTTAGGCACAATAGCGTTTTATTCTTCAAAACAACGCACTAAAAAAACTGGGTTAAGAGTATGGGACATTCTGGACATGTGGCAATGGGACAAATAATGCTGCAGTATATTTAAGTATATATGACAATTGCTCACTCGGACAGTTTTTTAGGAGCCCCCAAGAAAGTGGTGGGCCCTAAGCTACAGCTTGGGCAGCTTATATGTAAATCCTGCCATGGACACATGCAATAAAACTAAATTCACATGCAAATTAATTCACAGTTACATTAAATGTCATCAATGAAACACAAAATTTTAAAAGACTAGGAACAACTTTTATTATAAAAACTTTTCATAAAAATAATAAATTATTGCAAAACTGTTAAACTTTAAACATCTGCAAAACATTTTATAACTTACATTTAAAACTATAACATACTGTAAAATCACAGACTATCATGGAAATCAGAACTCTGAAGTTAATGGCATAAAACCTTTATTTCTGGATTAAAATATAACTATCAACAATAAAAATCATCAAAGAAACAGGAACTCCTTTCTGCAAGATGAATTGTTACCTCCAGAAGTGAAAGTCCTTTGTTAAATGAGCAAGCCCTTTTATACTGCCGCATAATAGACAGTCCATAACTAAGTGTCTGACTTTACGGCTTTAGCCTGGCTGGATGGCACAATCCTGAATATTCACCTCAAGGTTCTTTCTGAAACCACGTGGAAGCTCTAAGATTAACTACCTACATGCATACAGAATATGAAATTTCGCAGTCTTTACAATACATTTAAAACTTCTTTAAAACAACATACATATAAAACTTCTGAAAAACAAAATTTTATTTTTTAATCAATGATGTAATCCTTATTATTATTGGCTGAAGGTTTGGTTTGGTTTATTTGATTAAGGCAAACTGCGTGAGGGCTATCTGCCTAAGGGGAGGGATGCCTTCATGAAGGACTTTCTAAGGGATACTGGCTCCTATACATGTTATTAATGGGGAAAACCATGAAAACGCCCATGGAGCCAGCCCGTTTGCTGGGATTTGAACCCCAGACTGAACTACCAGTGTTCACCACCTTGACTCCTCAGCCATTGGTGGGCACTATTTTATATGGTGTCAGATGTCATCAGCACTTCTTTAACTTTTTTCAATAACCAAATAAACTTAACATTTAAACAAATGGTAAATAGAGGGATTTATGACAACAGGATATGAAACAAGTCATTAAATTTCCATTCCATCTACTTTTTCTCTTAAATGATTCTTTTGCATATGCAATACCATTGCCAAATATCAAAACTTTTTTATGCTACCATTGCTGGTCTTGCTTTAAATATCTGGAAAATCTTCAGAAATAAGTTTGGTTTTGGCTTCTTTAAAAAGGAAAGAGCAACAGTTGGATCAGTTTAAAACTGGAATACAGGAATTCAATTTAATCACTACTAAAAATTGTGATGAAAAATGTCTAATTTCTGTGTCACAACAGCCATGAATTACATACCATACATCATATTTCTTATTGTTAGAATACTGTTCATAAAAATCTTCTTGTACTGTCTGTGAAATTCTCTAATTTCATTGGAGTCTTCATCTAATTCATTGTGTGGATTCTCCCTTTGATAAAACTACATATGAGACTTTAGTAGAACACCAGAAGAAACAATGCTCATAATTCTGATTTTGGATCAGCTTTTCCAAGAATTTTTGTTAGTAGTTTATCTTTTCATCTTCCATTCCTTGCTTTGCACCTTCAATATCAAATAGTACAAGTTAACCAAAAACGTTCTTGCCATTTCTGATATGACATTGGAAGAGTGAACCTCAACATAAAAATAGTCGCCAAGCCTGGCGATGAAGTGGTTATGATGGGAATCCGAACATTGACCAAGAGTATATAAGTGTGTTGCATCAGTACTTCAAACATAACTCACACAGCAACTGATTGAAATGGACACATTAAAGGCACTCATTCAGAGTTGTTTGTTGTATGATTCTAAAGTGGGCCTGTCAGCAGCAGAATCAAGTCGCCGAATTTGCCAGACCTTTTGGGATGATGCCGTTAACAAACGAACCACTAGCAATGGTTCCAAAAGTTCAGGTCATAGGATATGGCTCTTAATTATGCACCACACAACGGTTGGCCACAAGCGCTGGACGATGAGGACCTGAGAGCAACCACAGAGAGTGACACTAGCCAAACATGTAGCAAGCTTGCTGCACACTTCCAGGTATCTGATGAAATGATCAGACACCATTTGCACCACATAGGAAAGGCATACAAGCTGAGCAAGTGGGTACCCCACTCACTGTCCAATGCAAAACAAGCAAGAGCATGTCGTTGCCTGTTTGCCATTGCTTACTCAGCACTGCAATGCATCCATATTTGATAGAGTACTCACCAGTGATGAAAAGTGGGTCCAGTATGACATAACCAGGCATCCCAGACATTGGTTGTCACCACAGGACCCTATGCGTCACACTGCGAGACCTTCTCTCCACCCACACAAGATCATGCTCTGTATCTGGTGGACTAGTTGCAAAGTGGTGCACTCTGAGCTCCTGCCAGTGGGCCAAACCACCACGGCAGGCCTGTACTTGTAGGAGTTGGAACGTGTGCATCAGGCACTGATGCATAAGGAGCCAACACTGATCAATCATAAAGGTGTACTCCTCCTCCATGACAATGAGAGACCACATGTGGCTCGGGAGGCCAGGGACACCATCCAGCGACTGAGCTGGAAGACACTACCCCATCAACCACACTCCCCAGATCTCGTGCCAACAGATTACCACCTTTTCCATTCCTTGGACAACCATCTTCATGTGAAATCCTTAAACAACCAGCTAGACCTCGAAAAAGCCTTCATGGACTTCTTTGCATACAAGACTCCTGAATTTTATGGCGATGGCATCCCATAGCTAGCCACTCGCTGGCAAAAGGCACTGCATGCCGATGGTGATAACTTTGAGGATTAGCGGTGATTATTATTTGTTTTATGACTTTTTCTTTCTGAATGTCCAAAACAACAAGAACTTTTTTGATTACCTTGTATTTATAAATCCACAATTCATCACCTTTAATCATTTTACCTAATTAGCCCTTACAGCACTTTTTCTGCTTCACGCGTTACAACATCAAACACTTTAGAATGATTTTTACACAGTTTCCTCATTCTCAATTTGCAGATTAACCCGTAAGTGCACGCACTAAGTCCGATGGACCTGCACAATTAAACAAACCTTTCTCAAAACACGCCTATTTCAAGCAAGTTGTTGAGGTCTAATGTAGTCGTGTCTTAGGTTGACCTCTTTATGTTTCTGAAGTTTTTCCCCTGGGTCTTTGATTCAGAGTCTTGATTTTGATTGCACCGGGTCTTTTAGACCCAGCGTTCCTATTCATGCTACTATTACATATAGTTGATCCGTGATAGTTCAAAAAGCAGCAAACATACTACCTAATTTATCTTACAATGAAGAAATGTTGCAAAAGTTATTAGATGTATTGTCGAAGAATGTATTGAAGAAAATGAGGATGGAAGTGATCATGAGTTTTTAGTTCACAGGATACTGGTTCAGAGAGTGATATAGATTCTGAAAACACGAGTGAAAAATGACTTAAATTGTTTTAAGGGAAGAAAATGATTGGGAACGAAAAAAAAAAGGAAAAAAAAGATGCAGTGTTTGCCCAATGAAAAAGCACAGAAAAATGAAAACACGCTACCAAATGTGAAAAGTATTTGTATTTGGAACACATGGCAACAAGCTATTCAATATGCTGCTAACGTTTGTTGTTGCATTTTTTGTCTGTCTTAGTGCTAATGAAGAAAATAAGAATTAATACAGAGTAAAAATATCAATCTGGCAGACAACTGATGCACAATGCTGAGCTTGTGAAACTCTCTGATTTTTTTAAGCAAAACCAGATTACTGTGCAGCAGGGGTGTAACATGTAAAAGTATGCGGGCAGAGAAAATAAGGGGCTGCCGGACTCTCGCGATACCACAACTGAATATTTTTAATTCATTAAATTTATTGTAAGTACTAGTCATATGTAAGTACTTTTTATATAATTTGTCATATGTAAGTACTTAGTGAATATGAAATAAAAATTTTATTGATCATTGAACACTTTTTTTTTTTTTCATTTTGGGGGCGGCAATCCTAGAAATGTACGCGGTCAGGCCAATCCTAGGGGCAGCAATTCTATGAAAGTATATGCATGCAGACAATGGCCTAGGAACGGCTCTGTGTGTACATAGCAGAAGAACGGCATTAAAAAAAATTATAGAATGATTTCATGAAAAATGTGTTTTACTTTTTCAGTGCATCATATAATCTTTACTTAACCGCTTGCCTGATTATCCTGAGTTATCTCAGGTTCGTATATATTGCAGTTAATTATTATCCCGTGATAACTCGGGCGAAGCAGAATTTGTTAGTACGATTTGCTTTATCACGGTTTTACTCGGCCTGGAGGAAATGAAAGGAAATATTCAGTTTTAGATTGGCAGTTTGAAAAATTTTGTTGGTTGCGCGGCTCTTTTGGAGGGATTGGTCACGTGTTTCCCTATTGTATAGTATACGTTGGCTTGTGGATTAGTAATGTATAAAGAAAGATAGATGCGTTGAAAAAAATAAAATAATAGCAATGATGCAAGATAGCGAAAGAGATGATTTTTCAAATAGTGATTATGAAAAGGTGAAAAAAAAATTTTTTTTTTAATCAAATCCAACGAGACGGTGTACTCTGGGCTTCCGTGAAACAGATTCCAGCGGTACGCCAGTATGAAAAGAGACCAGATACCAGCGTAGAATGTCGAGTACAGTCAAAAGTCGTTAATCCGGACTCGTCGGAACTTCGACGATTCCGGATTACCGATTTTTCCGGATTATAGATCATCAGTTTAAATCACGTAAGATGGCATGCAGAAATTCTAAAATTAAAAATATGAAACCGTAATTTATGAAATAAAGAACAATTATGATCTAAAGGGTATCAAAATTTACAAAAAAAAAAGCTTAATATTTATTTGTTTACTTTATTAAACATTTCTTTCAATTTAAGTTGTTTAAGTTGCTTTCGTTTTATGTGATAATACTTTCTCTTTAATTCTATAAACAGACATAATTTTGTTCAGTTACAAAGTTCCGCTGTTCAAGTCCCGTTAATTGCTGTGCCGAGAATACCGACTAACTTGTCAATCGAAATTTTTTCGTTTTCACTAACCTCTCTGTCACATTCTTCATGTCTTTATCCATTTTTTTGCAGCAATTTCCACTTTTTGTTTGATGGACATCGAAACATACTTTCGTTTTGTACGATCCTTTGGGAGCTCCAGATTCGGATATTCTATTTGACATAATCGAAAGTTCAAGTTTACTTTTATAAAATTGCCCTTACAGTCTGCAAAAAATAATAAGCCGGATCCAATTCGAAGATTAAGGAACAACGCAATCATCAACATTAACTGAAATAGATAATTAGATAATTTTAGATTATACCGTCCTTTATACATAAAACATGCACGCGAAAACGTATTCTGCACTTGTGCACACGCAAATGCGCAGTCGTAAGAGGTCTTATGCGCCCGCGTAAACGCCTATGCGCATGTGTCAACGCGGCGCATGCGCAGAAAGTTTTTAGCTTTGAGGTCCGGATTATAGATCATTCCGGATTATGGGTGTCCGAATTAACGACTTTTGACTGTATCACTTTGTGTAGTCCCTTGTTTCAAAAGCTATCATACAAAGACTAATATTTAACTTTTTTTCATTTGCCCAAGATAACTCGGGATAGTAAACTAATATTAAAACACCTTCCAAAAATTAAAAATTCAACTTAAAACCTACATATTTTGATTTGTTTCATTTCGTTGTATTTAATAATAAAATTAAAAAATGTGATGAATTTTTGCAATTTTTTTCGAAAACATTTGTAAGGGAAGCGGTTAATAACTGAAATTTATATTTGAAAAAAAAAATTTTAATATGTTCATAATTTTGCCAATTTAACAATAAATATTGATAGCCTGAGAATGTTTTAAAAAAAAATCACAAAAATAATAACCTGCACCCAATAAGCAATTTTTACCATTTCCACTGAAAAAAGACTGCCAAATTACAACAAGGTGGTTGTATCAATATGTAAGTATCTTTTTTTTGGGGGGGGGAATTGAGAAGGGAGAAGATATAGCAACTCTGAATTTCTGAATAATTCTATTGTATTTAAAAAAAAAAAAAAAAAAAAAAAAAACATAAAAATATGCCTTTATATATGCCCCCCCCCCAAAAAAAAAAGATACTTACATATTGATACAACCACCTTGTTGTAATCTTATTTGAGATAACACAAGCTTTAAAGCAAAGGTTTTAATAATTAAATATTTTGTCTAGTTTTTGAAAAACAATAATGAAAACCAAAAATGATTATGAAAGATACTGCAAATTTAAACACAGATCCAATATGAGCTAAGAAAACCATCACATCATTAGGTCTGTAACAAAAGTAGATTCAGATTTATCATAGCTTTATATGAATATTAATAGCAAATCTTGTTTTTGCATTTCCAAAACTTTTGAAAGTCTGCTATTTTTTATTTTAAGCCAAAAAAAAAAAAAAAAAAAAAAAAAAAAAATTGCTGGGCTCCCAAATTTATAATTTGCCATATACTTCTGATTATTAATTAAATATTTTGTGTATAAAGGGAAAAAGAGTTTTACTAAATATGAATAAATAAAAACTTTAACTGAAAAAAGGAAGAATAAAAATACCAATTATTCTTGACAAAATTATTAAGCATTTGTACAGCCCCTTTTTTTAACTCATTTTCCTTGAATGTGAATGTGATAAGTAGCTGAATATCTTTAGGCGTGATGCATCAACTTATTCACCAACATTATCAGTGAGATAAAACAAACAAAAATTCTTATCGTTTGATATTTTAAAAGATCTTATTAAAAACATTAAAAAAAATCTGTAACTGTAGTGAAATGTCCCTAAAATAGGGACTCGTAATTTTAGATCACTTTGATATTCTGTCTTTCATTGCCATACAAACACGATTATGGATTATGTTCAATAGCACTATCATCTATATTCTTAAACATACATGGTAAAACCACATGGGTAAAATATTACAATTGGGTGCCCCTTGTTTATTGGCGATTCTTTCTTGACGCCAAGATCGGAGCTAGAAAGTCACAATTTCAAGATGGCCGCTACACAAAACCAAAATAAGAAGTCAAAGAATTGCATAAGATCTGTGTCCATGTACACATTGATCTGTTTTTACTTAAAAAAACATCCTAGAATTGCACAAACTAGGCGTTGCGCACTGCCTTAAATATGTCCATGTACACATCAATATATTTTCCTTTAAATAAAATCGGGAAGCTAAAACAAATTTAAAACTATCGTGGTAACCAGAAGTGAGGTTTCATCGCCAAAATTTTTTTTAAAACTGTCGCCAATCGAAGGGGCACCCAATTCTACACTAAAGCCAATACATGTTACTTTCTGAAATGGTCATTATATACCATTTTGGTAAAAGTTTAAAGTTGGGTGTCCCTTGTTTTTTGGCGATTCTTTTTTGATGCAAAGATCGGCACCAGGAAGGCATAATTTCAAAATGGCCACTACACAAAACCAAAATAAAAAGTCAAAGAATTGCACATGCGTCCATGTACATATCGATCTGTTTTCACTTTAAAAAAAACATCCTAGAATTGCACAAACTAGGCATTGTGCACTGCTTTAAATTTGTCCATGTACACATCAATCTATTTTCATTTAAAAAAAAATCAGGACGCTAAAACAAAGTTAAAACTATCATGGTAACCAGAAATGAGGTTTCACCGCCAAATTTTTTTAAAAATTTATTGCTAATTGATGGGGCACCCAATTCTACACTAGAGACGTATTTTGGTTGTTGTTGTTGTTATCATTATGCAACTCATATTGCTCAAATATCTTATTACTTTTAAATTCAGAACTCTCAATTAAATATTTTCAATTATCCTTCACATTCATCAGCCTCACCATGAACTGTGAAACTCTATCATATTTGCAACAGTTCTAGCTCATAATCAGAGAAACTTTATATTGTTCTTTTTTCCTCCTGATTGCTTTTTGTTTTTACTAGTGGCACTAAGGCGTCGCACTTCGTATTTTGTTTTCTCTTGTGTGTACATGTATTCTTCTGTGAAATAGTTGTTAAAAAAATAGTTAATTATGTATGGATTAGTAATTAGGTACTTAAGGAAAAAAATTTGTATTTAACTATTAGCAATTATGAATTTACTCTTGCTCATTTAATTATTTAGCACATTCAGTTATATTTCTCATAATTCGAAACTTTTATCATGTTATTCGATGAGGGGTAGGGCTATGGCGCCCAGGCACCCTGGTGATTAAGCACCGCAGTTCAACTACTTTAATCAGAGAAACTAAACAGCAAGCAGAAGGTAAGCTAAAAAGGAGCATTCTCTTTTTCAGCTATATATTTTTCAATCCTACCATCATGTGCCCAGCATCGAACACTATAGCATAACCTACGTCCACGAAACTTCTTCCTGTGCTCACTACATACATTTGTTATTTTCTATTCATTCTCTCAAGAGGCGGGAAAACATTTTGAATACTAACTAATCATCACAATTATAAGTTTAATGTCTGAAGATTATTCCATTCCATAAGTATGCGGTTTTAACACGAACAGCAAATAATAATACATCAGAAATGTGGGTAATGATAAGGGAATACTCGAGATGTGACTTAAAATTGGAACATGATCCATAACAAATTCAAGGCAGAGAAACATTGTTGTAGCAACTGCAGTGAGAACTATCTCTTCAAAAGAAAAGGTGTATAATAATTTACATAATATAGAACAGACACTCACATCGTCCCATTTAATAAACTTGTTTCCTTCTATTAAATTTTTTGGCACTGTTATAGGTTTTAGTTGAACTACATGCACGCCTGATTTAGCGCCAGCCATATTCAGGCATTAGGAAAGTAACAGATGCAAGCAGCAAATATTTTCAACAAATCATTATTGCAGTGATGGGAACTTAAAATCGGCCCGTAATCTAAAACAATCGAGATCAAATCGGCCAAAATCCATAAAACACAGCTGTCAGCTAGCACCCTTAACAACATCACCGAGTTGAGTTGATGTGATCCAGCACAGCAGGCAGGCCAAAGGGCTTATAGATTAGGGAGATTATTTTGTTTGCTCTTCTCCTTAAAAATGATCTTTGGAAGGCTTTTGAGACACAGAAAAGTTTTACGGTTAAAAGGACTCTTCAGGACTTAATTAAATTAGATTGCAACGTGAACAAGTATCATTTTACTCATGTATTTTACCAACAATAAATATAAATTCAAGGATAAAATATTTCCTAATTTAATATAAATTACATTATCTCCATTTAAAAATTCCCATTTATACTTTAATTTTTTTATCATTTGATTATAAATCTTGGTCTCGAACTGAAATAGATTGTCAACACCATATAATGTCCTTGCTCCTTAATTCCAAAAGCTCATGCACCAGTCCCTTATTCCAATATGTCCCGTTAATCTTTCCACTCTATATAGTAATCACATTAAGACCCAATAACACGCCGAACAAATAATAATTCAGAAGTCAAACAACAAAAATCAGCATTATATTTTCAAATTTTCAGTTCCTTACATCATCGCGCCTATTGAAAAAACTTTTAACTGTAAAATATCAGAAACGCAGAAAGATACAATCTGCCTACGGAAGAATTACGATATCTGCGGTAAAAATTTTCAGCTAAGGGTTCGAGACTAAGAATTCTAAAATAAAAGTAATAAAAAATTATCCTTCGCGAAATACGGCAAAGAAACTGTCATCTTTTCTTGGCATGTGTTCGTATTCCCGTTCTTTTATCCAAAATTTCGCCAATACCGTGGAAAATACCGGCCCGACTCGCTATCAAGAATTAAACTGGATGAAAATGGAGATAAATGTGCTATGCTAACTTCTAGAGTTATAGTTCAGAGGAAATGATCATTTCTGAGTTGATAAAGAATCCAGAATTCGGTAATATCTATGCTTATTTAAAGAATCCAGATAATTTTGAACATGCAGACCTTGCTGCATTTAGTAATAGAGCCAAAAATTACGATATTATACATAATTTGCTGTTCTATACGGCAAATGAAAACCATGAATATAGGCCACTCATCCCAGTCATACTACGGCTAAGCATATTGCAGGAGCTGCATGACGCACCAACGGCTGTTCTCTTAGGGCGAGGAACAGTATTGCCAGAAAATTTTCAACTAAAGCAAAAGCAGACTAAAAAAGTCGCAAAAATCACAAATGACTTCAGAGATCACCTGACTTTCTGTGACGTCATAGCGTGCGTGCTCACATGGTATCTGACGTCACCACAAATTCACCGTAAGTTACAGACTATATTCGATTTTTAATTGCGTATCTTAGCTTTAACGAAAATTTTAAAACTATGTTGATTATTTTCTATTGTTTAAATATCCCTTTCTTTTTTAATTAATTCTCATTTTAATTTAGCTTTCTATTTTAAAATTAATTCGCGGATATCCATTCTTAACAGACTCCTGACGTTTGGACTATTAACGCATTTGTACTAAATTTTTTGAGTTGGCAGTTAATTTTTTAATTCATTGTTTTTTGTGTGAGTTTCCGTTGTGTGATGGATCTGTTTCAGATTCTGATTACTTAAGAAAGCCTTGTTCTTTCACTATTTAATTTATTTGTGTTGTTATTTAGAAAAATGTCGTTGCTTTGAGTTTTAAGCAATTTGCATTGCTTAGTTCTTAGCAATATTATAAATCACCATAGAACTAGGGGTGGGAACTGACTTGAAGATAAATCGCGCGGGAGACGAGGAAGGGTGGGGAGAGGTCCCGAAACTTTTTTTTTTTTTTCTTTCCACTTTCTTCTCTTCTCTTACCCTTTTCTCGTTATATCGGCGTTAGGCTGTGCACCCTTGTAAAGGAAAGCATGTAAATCAGATTGCCAAATACCAACTTCTATTCAAGCCTAAATAAACTTTTTTAATATCAATTATTTTTAATTGGTACATTATTTTAACATAAAAACATTTTACGATGCATTAAAAAATTTTTGAAATTGCGAAAAATAGCATAAGGCAATGATGGATGTCGCAGAAATTTTCGCATGAAAATTTCACCATAACCACAAATATTACAATTTTAGAAGCACAGGTTTATGAAAAGTCGCAAATTTGTGAAAAATCGCACGATCTGCCAGCACTGGTAAGGAAAACGGTGCGTAGAGTACGCGAGGCGGAGTGTTTCCGAAACTACAGAAGACAGTGACAGCGTATGTCAGGTTCTGTAACTTAGTTCAGTTAATTAACGACGCTAATTATAGCCCGGCCGGGTATCTAAATAGTATTCGCGCGATTTTTTCTAATGAAATTCTTAGAATGGACCTTCTTAGCCCTTTTCCCAAAAGTGAATTAAATAAAAACCGAATATATTTTGGTGACTGCTGATCATTTTTCTAAGTGGATAGAAATAACTCCATTAAAGCGAGCGTCGGCTAAAATAGTCGCCGATGCGTTTTTACATAGGTATATTTTAAAATACGATGCACAATTAAAAGTAATAAATGATAATGGTAAACAGTTTGTTAGTCACATTTTTGAAAATTTGTGCAAAGTGCTTGACATATGGCCTATGAAAATGGTCTCGTACAGACCACAAGCAAACATCTCTGAAAGAGTGAATAAGAATATAATTAAAATAATTAGAAGTTATGTTAAAAATTATCATAAGCGCTGGGATGGCTGCATTAAGGAACTAGCCTATGCTTTAAAAACTGCCAAGCATGATACGACGGGTAAAACGCTCGCTGAATTATTTCTGAATAAAAGGAATTTGACACCTTTAGATAAACTCATTTTCATCCTAGAGCGGAAGTCGGAATTTACACAGCAAAACATTCAAAAGCTGATCGACGAAGCTTTGAAGAATTCAGATGTAACAAGAGGGCGGCAGAAATTATATTACGATAGAAGACGTGTCGGGAATCAGATTTTAAAGTGGGGCATAAGGTGCATCGGTGCTGTTATTTATATTACTTCAGATCCGGGCGAAAGAAGAAGGAAAATTCCAGATCAATTAAAACTTTACTATGAACGTAAGGACTTTGATGCGTTGAATGATTTCCTGTAAGCTTCCTAATCAGAAGAGGCGGCACCCTCAAGAGCGACTTCGGCCCCACCAGCGTTTCCACCATCAAGAAAAAGACAAAGAACAGACCAGATGTCAAGGCCTCAGACAAGAAAAGAAGTCCCCAGAAAGGAACTCCTCGACATATGGAAGGTCCAGCGGGGAAAAATGTAAGTGTGAAGAATCGTTGAGAAGAAAGGCCCCAGCAAGTAACAAGGATGGCTTTGCTCAAGGTATCGCAGCAGACAACCCCAGAATACGTCAAGCAGGCGGTGCACAGAAAGAATTGTACAAACAAGACCACCATTTGATAAAATGAAGAACAGACCAGCCGAAGATCAAGGCCCACAGCAAGGACCGAAGCAACCAAGAGTCAACAGGCAAGAGTCCTCGACTACTGACGCCAGCCAAGAACCAGCTTTCCTGCCAGCAAAAGGCAAAGACAGGAGACATTGTATGATCAGTTGAAAGTGAAACTAACGTTGGAGTTGAAAAGAAGGATGCTCAGAGGGAAAAAGGGCAGAACTAACCTCAATCAGTGGAAAGAAGGCAGAAGTTGAAAATCGCCAATGTGAATAGCACAACGTGAAAAGAATGGCTGAGTACCAAGCAACGAAAAACAAATATAAGGGAATTTTTCAATAAGTCTTTTCTGTCTTTCTTGTCCATTCTTTCTGATCTTATCTAAACATTATTTCCTATCTTGTTCATTTGCGGTTTTGCAGCTGAAGATGATGGTTCGGTAAAACCATCGAAACTAGTCCTGTGAAAGTTTTGTAAATTAACGCTGATTTTTGTTGTTTGACTTCTGAATTAGTAAGTCTTTTCTGTTTTGTAAAATTACATGAAACCTTAAAATACGAAGTTACTATGTAAAGTCAATTTACTTCGGTTGAGGGCTAAAGTTATTTTAGTTTTAATCGGCGAAAGCACAAACTATAGTGTAATCAGAGAATGTAACATTAATGTAAAGAACTAGTTTTGTTTTAACTAGTAATTTGTTTGTGGAAAGACTGTTTATGTTAAAACGCCAAAAGTTCTGGCCTGACACAAGCAGCTTCGTATTAGTACTTGTTAATAAAAAATTTTTTTAGGTTCGCTCTTTTGGCAAGAAAAGGATTCAAGTAAAAATTTTCATTTTATTCTCTATTGTAATAAAAGTTTTTGATTGTAAAATGTGAATATCTGTTATATAAATGTCTGAATAAATGATACTGCGAATGTAGGTTTAAATTTCAAAGAGCACATATAATAAGTATTTAGTGCTACAAAACTCAGAATTTAAAATTTCATGTATTCAAGAGAATGTCTTGAAATTACACAAACGAAAAGTTAGCCAAGTCAAATTATACGTTTTCGAGCGTAAGCTTGCATGTACTTAAGCCCTAATGTGGAGAAAAGTTTTGTATGTATGTGTTTTGTAGAGTTCTCCACCTCCACTCGAGGAGTTAATTTTCATGTGTACTAGCTCATGAAGAATTAAGAAGTGAATTTAGGGTGTATCTAAGAAGGTTGCTATGTACTTACAAATTAATGTGTGTTTTGGTGGAGCGTTTGTTCTCTGTGACATATTGCATATGCATTTTTACCACACATTGTTGAGAGTCAAAAGGGGATTAAGTTTAAATTAAGCTGAATGCATAATGAGTAAATGTGACCCGTAAAAACCGTGATGTTGAATAAACTGAAGAAAGCTACGTTAAAGACAAGCGATGGTTAGAAACTCAATAAAAAGGGTTAATTGTAGTGTGAAAATAAAGTGTTATTTATTGTTTGGTAGAAACATGTATTCATAAGTATTCCTTCCAGATGACTGAAAGGAAAAGACTGAATGCCCCAATGAGCAAGTACAGTAGAAGAAAAAGAGGAAAATAAATATTTCTGTTATAATTAAGTTTCGTATTTGTGTGTAAACGGGGTTCAGAGTCTGTTAGATGTAGAATTTAATAGTT